CTAAGCAAATTAAGACTGGCCGCCAGAACTGTCAGGAAACAGCTCCTTAGAATTTCAGCCTTCTAGCTTTCCTGGCTCCTGAGTTAGCAATCTACTGGAAAAAAACTTTCACAGGCCCATGCGTGAGTACCACGCATACCCAATGTCTGCGTTTGAGTTCGTTGAGACTTACGTGGACAAGGAACATCCTCTTAAAATTACAGTCTTCCAGCCTTTCAGACACTCGAGTTGGCAACTTGCCCGAAAAAAACTTTGGCCGGCCCGTACGTAGGTACCACGCGTGCCCGGGGACTGGTTTGAAGCTCATCAAAACCTACGTGGACAGGGAACGTTCTCGTAAAACTTCAGCTTTCTAGCTTTTCCGATTCCCGAGTTAGCGACTTACCCAAAAAAAACTTTCGCGGGCCCGTATGTGGGTACCACACATACCCGGAGTCTGAGTTTGAGCTCAGTGAGACTTAGGTGGATGGGGAATATGCTCTTAAAAATACAGTCTTCTAGCTTTTCAAATTCTCGAGTTAACGACTTAACCGAAAAAAATTTTGGCGAGCCCACACGTGGGTACTACGCATACCCGAGGGCTGAGTTTGAGCTCGCTGAGAATTACGCGGACAGGAAACATTACCCTAAAATTACAGCCTTCTAACTTTTCAGTTTCCCAAGTTAGCAACTCGCCCGAAAAAACTTTGGCGGGCCCGTGCGTGGGTACCACGCATACCCGAAGGCTGGGTTTGAGCTCATTCAGACTACTTGGACGGGGAACACCCTCTTAAAATTTCAGCCTTCTAGCTTTTCTGGTTCGCGAGTTAGCGACTTACCCGCAAAAAACTTTCACGTGTTCGTACATGCATGTAGATTACGTTTCCAAAGTTTCAGCCCTGTAGCTTTTGCAGGTTTCGAGATGAAAAATCGGTACAGAGGCCCAGCGTACACACAGACACACACAGACAACCCCTCGTCAATATGCGCATTTGCATAGCTGCAAAAGACGCATAAAAATCGAAAAACAAAAAAGAAACCACACTAACTTGGAATCTAAGCGTTTGTGGAATGAAGGATAAGTGAACTTACCTTATAAAGTGCACCCGGTGTTGTCTTTAATTCGAATGAGAAGATGTGCGGTGGGAAATCATACGTGTCACATCTGATGCCTTCCCAGACCTCCAGTTTATAAACATACATCACCGCCGCTAAAACTACCAAAACGATGAGCGTAATTAGTGAAATGTTACAATTTCCTGAGCATCCCTCTGCCTTCCAAAATGAATACCAAGAATTATGTCTTCAGCAAAAAAAAACTTTTAAAAAACGCAAGTAAACGAACGATCCAAGGCCGGAGGCTTCCATTCGATAAGGCATTTGAGTGCAGACGTTTGCACAGTGATGTTTATTGACAGAGGGCGAGATGGCGCACAAAAATCTTGATAGAGCGGCACGTTTGATCGTGGAGAACGCAACGACGAAGGCGATAAGCCTGGACCTGAAATATAAGCAGCTGTTTTGGAAAAAATGATGACTCGCATAAAGCTATGATTGCGCTGTTCTCAGTCTTTTATTAAAGCGAAAAGAAAAAAAAAAAAAATTATTGAAAGATAACCGGTGGCATGTGGAGTTGGAATGTCGAGCGGAATGCCTGGCAATGGAAATGGAATCGGAGCAGGCATCCGCATGATATTCAGGTTCGGCTTCAAGTAAGCTGGAACTTCCGGTGGCGGTCGAGCATAGGGCAGTAGAAACCGCGGCAATCGACGCTGCCTTGCTGGAATTGGTCGATACGCCGACTCCATCTCTGGGTATGACATGTTTGGTTCATTCCACATTGCTGCTACCGGCTGAAACCATTTAGATGCCAAATGAAAAACATGCTAAGCTATGATGACGACTGAAGGAAAGCGAAACAGAACGAACGTTGCGAGGCTCCATTTCGAATACACGAGAATGAACTCCGCAACTCAAGCCTCAGCGATACCACGTCGTATTCAATCCACTATTGTATATTCCGCTTTGTACGTCTCCTGAAAATGCTTGCCCGACAGAAGTTGCAACCACTTCGAATTTTCACCGAATACACCGGATACCGCGGCATAAATTACTAGTTCAAACTCTTGCGCATGAGTCCACACGCTTCTGCATGAGTTCATCCTGTCGAAATACTGCCTGCACTACTCGGGCGTGACTGCGGTGTTGCAATTTGAACATATGATGCGCCTGTAAGCCGGACCCATACTTAGGCAGAAAATTATCTTAGACTCGGTGGCCTGCACATAAACAGCAAATATCCTGAGAAAAGCGCTACTTAGCCTGAGTTGAATGGCTGCCAACAGTTAAAAAACTAAATTTTCACTTGCATACACACGAGATTTTGGTGGGCTTCAAAGCTGAATTTGAAATATTCCGTCGCACACGGGCACAGGATATCCTCGTGCAATTTCAGCTCCTTGGCACAACTGGTTGGCGGAATCATTTTTCTCTTTGTCGTATTCGAACAAATGACACAGGCGAATGCCTCATTTTACGTTTACATGCTCAAGTATGGAAAACAAATATTTTTGTAAAATCAGAGCGATCCAGACAGCTTGACCCCCGATTTGGCACTTCGCCAATGATGTCTCAAGGAACACTTGCCTGCTTCCATAATATAGGCGTGTGTTAAAGCTGAATTTGAAACCTTCAGTTCACGCAAAAACGCAGAAAATTTGTGCGAAATTTCAGCTTCTGTCCTGTTTGATTCCCGAAATCACTTTCCAGATATACACACACACACACGCACACACACACACGCACACACACACACACACACACACACACACACACACACATACCAATAGCCTCTGGGCAGTATGCGTTTCCGCAAATTCATGCAAATGCAAAAACGCATACTGACGAGAGGCTGTCACAGTGGGTGTGCGTCTGTGTGCATGTTTATGTGTGTGCGTTTGTGCGCGCGTGTGTGTGTGCTCGCATTTTAACACCCACTTTCAACTTAACCGGTGACGCTAAGAAGCTGAAATTTTTCGAGCGTGTTCTTACCTTATCTGCGATGCTTCGTTTTTAAAATCATCTCTCCTGTGCGGACGTCTAAAAAAACCTCTGCAAAAAAACCTGTGGCGGGAAAGCAATCTCGGGAGCCAGTCAAAGAAGCCGAAACTTTGTAGTGATTTTCTGCACCCTCATGAGAGCTAAAGATTTTAGATTCAACTCGAACGCATATGTAATCTCGAACACATATGTAATCCCGATATGTCACAATGTGATCTCGCAATATCTAGCAAAATCCCGACTCGAGGCCGAGTAACTCCCTCTGACTTTACGAAAATATGTGCTTTTATGCGCGAGTCGGCAGAAGTGAGCATTCTGGAACGCTTGTCGAACCACGTACGGACATGTCAAACCATTTTTCTGAGAAAAACGATTTCGCCAGCCAGCTGAGCTAGGAAGCTGAAATTTTCTGAGGAAGAGGCGTGTCTGAAACGCTTGGAAAACGACTTTCACACAAATTTCAATCTCGTGTATGGCCAGGTGACACTTCCAGTTGCAGTACTGTTGGCATCCATTTAACTCGCGAATAAAATAAAGCGGAGAGCTGGTTTTATGAACATATCTGTTCATCTGCGAGCCCGCATGTCTAAAACTGGCATTTGCGGCTCATGTCTCGTGCTTGGATGCACTAAATGCTGCTTGCTGTATGCAGTCTTCTCTTCCTCCTGAAATTCAGCATTTGCTGGGATACTGAATTTTTATGTGCTGGTTTGCTTGCCACACTGTGGCCTGTGTAAAACTACTCCTTGTTCTTGCCATTTCCTTGTAGATATGTTGGACAGCTTTCAGCTACTAAATTCAGCTAGCAGGAAAAATTTCATTTTGGGCTCCTGCACTTCGCATCACGCAATGAATACGAGCTATGCTTCTCATGATCATGCAAATTTGCGCTATCACTGATACGATAATTCTAGCAATAGCCCTTTTCACTGCAGCAAAAGCAATGCTTAAAAAGAGTGACTGATGCCCATTGCGAGGTGCCTTTCGCACACCAGCAACTTCCGGACTATCAGGACACTGAAGCCTGCATCAAAAACTGGTACACCACCTAGCTGCACAATTAACTGCCTAAATTCCAAGGGTCAGTAAGTGACAGACTCCAGCTGCTGGGGCTCCAAGCGATCCCACTACAGCACAAATTACACAGAATTATGACAGAACCGGCCACTCACTGATGCACCTCGCATTTCATTGCATTTGTATAAAAATGCAAAGGCGCATGGGTGCCTCAACATATGCACGGAAGACCGTTTCGTTGATGCCAACCAACAGAGATGCCTTTCATCACCCAGTCACATACACACACATACACACACACACACACATCTGTTACAGAAAGCGCAACACATCCAACCTCCTACGAGCAGAAGCGCGGAGCTTGCCGGGAAATTTGCGGATTGCATTAGGCGGTTATTAGCCTGTCCACCCTCCCCTGCACAATCTAAAACGTGCTTAATACACGCCCGCAGGTAGCGTCTACGCGACAACAGACCGAGAAAGCATCCGGACCAGCCCCAGAAGAAGCGCTGGCAGTGCCGCCCTGCACGCACCACTCATTGCAAACCGCAATCGGCATAATCCAACACCTCTTCCCCGAAAACCTTCAAAATCAATTCGGCAAGCACCGAACGGAGAAGGCAATTCACCGAGGCACACCTTCACAGCGACGCGCAAGGCATGCGCAGTGTTGGTGCGGAAGGCGAGCTGCAGGGCTAGCCGCCGAGAAGTGCATGACGAGCACGGCACAAAGCCCGCGCATGAAAACGCCAGGCTGCATCCTAAAACGTCCATCTGATCACAACGACATCAAGGAGCACTCAAAGACCTGCGCCTCAGGCAGTGCTCGCCCGCAGACCGCCAGAAAGTTGCGCACAACTGATACTGGAAACCGTACACAACACGCAACCCCCCCTGCCCCTGCCTTGCCCCGACCACGCCACCCACCGCTCAAACCTCGCACCCACTCGACTTGACACAACCGTGCAACAAGCATTTGTCTAGCACCCACTAAAACACGGCCCGGCCAGACCGGGGTAAGTTGTCATGACTGGGACAGGGCGCGAAGAGGGGGAATCGGAACGAGCGGGGAGGTGTGAGGGGTAGGGTGGCGTTTTAGGCCGTGGAGGTCCTAGCAGGAGGGAGTGGGGTTATCCACTGGGAAGACCCTGGCTGGAAGTGGGAACTGGGAACAGAGTGGGGTCTACGTGGGGCGGGAGTGTCCCTAGGGATTCACGTTCTGCATGAGATCTAGCGCTAAGTGAAGTCTCAGGCGTCGTATTTTCAAGCTTGCTAACTCCCTCTCAACACCAGTTTCATTGCTTAGCATAAACCCAGGCTGGAACTCAATAAGTGGGCCGGTGTGATCATGCGTTCTTGCACTGTTTTGCGCTGTAGCAAGATCGCAAGGAATCACAGTAGTAAGAATTTGTGACATAATATCTCTCGAATTTCAGGAAGTTAATCGTGCAGCTATGTGGCAGAGAATGTCAGTTTTAGATGTCAGCTTCAAATGGAAAGTGGTAGGTGCGCGAAAAGAAGTTGAATTTGAAATCTTTTAGTCGCACATGGGTAGGGAACATTCCTTTAAAATTCCAGCTTTCCAGCCTTTCTTGCTCCTGGGTCAACAATTCTCCAGTCAAAATTCTCAAATGTCCGTACATGAGTTCTGGGCGGTTCTGAGGAGCTGAATTTGAAATCTTTTGTTCGTACATGAGTATGAACATTACCCTAAAGTTTCAATTTTCTAGCTTTTCTCATCCCTGAGTTAGCGACTTCCCCGTATCCGTACGTCAGGCATAGACATGCGTTATGGTTGATATCACGTTTTTGGAGTCGCACTTGGCCAGAGGGAAAACTGGCAAAATTTCAGCATCAAAGCCTGCGTGGTTGGCGAGTAGAAATACCTGAACAGATGAACACACATACAGACAGGGCCGTCGTAATATGCGTTTTTGTTGTCTGTTCTAGCGCTGCACGGCAAAAACACTTAAAAACCTATATAACCCTTCTATCCCGCCTCCCTCCCCCCCTCGCCCCTCTGCTTCCTTCCGGTTAATATCCCATCCTCCGCTCCTCTGTACCGTTATGATCTTTTGAGATCTACTATCACCTCCCCCCTCCCCATTTCAATTATATCCAACCCCTACTCCGCCATCCAACGAAAAGACATCGCAATCACTATAAGATGCTTTTCAAACCAGCCGAACCGAGCTTTGGTAGACACCACGTTGGCCATCGTTCGGGCACTGATTAAAACAACTGTTACTAATTGGTCGGCGAGGTATACGACTTGTAAAAATTTTTTTTCGGTGATAGAGGATAGGATTGCGCCACAGTGAGTGGTGACAGTTTGAACGATGCAAGTGGGGGAGGGGGGTAAGGGAGGAGGGCCGGAATACGTGGATTTAAGAGCTACATGGCGGAGATGCTTTGTTGGCTAGCTAGTTCGACAATTACTAAAGCTCCGCTCGGCTGCTGGTGTATGGCGCCTTGGCCTTTCAGCGCTTTGCTTTATCATTTCTGCCAATACTATTTTGCGGCGCCGCTCGCTGGAACTTTGCCAGACGAGCTGAGTAGCGCTACCCAGTGTGTGGCGACTGGACTACGTGGCCGCGGGGGTAACGGGTGGGAGGGTTGGACGTGGTTGGGGGGCGTTTATTGTTAGTTGCCTAGATACATTACAGAGAGCGCGATTGAGGCCAGAATAATGGAGAGGAGTGAAGTTGTTGGTTAGAAATTCAGGACGATAAATGGTGACAGTGGCTGGAGGTGGTGGGTGCCCCGATGCGGCTCTGGAGGCAGGAATTGGGGACAGGACACAGGAGGGGAAGGAGAGTGTTGGTCAGGAGTTCGAAGTAAAAACTGCAGATAGCAGTAAAGAGGAAAATAAACCAATACGGCACTACAAAGAAGAGTAAATTAAAACAGACTTGAATTTGTAAATAAAAGGAAAAAAAGCAAAATCAAAAAAGTGGAGCCTGTAACAAAAAAACGCAAAGGCAAACAAAAACAGAGCTTATGCGAGTAGGATTTGACTTACAAAAACTCGTCTTCAGTAAGCGATCCTTGCATTTACGAGGTTTATGCTTAAGCGAAGCTGAGG